CAGTCACATCAGTCTCTGTACAGAGGAGCTTACACTCTAATGCCCCCCCCACAGTCACATCAGTCTCTATACAGAGGAGCTTACACTCTAATGTCCCCTCCCCCTCAGTCACATCAATCTCTGTACAGAGGAGCTTACACTCTAATCACTCTAATGTCCCCCACAGTCACATCAGTCTCTGTACAGAGGAGCTTACACTCTAATGTACCCTCCCCCACAGCCACATCAGTCTCTGTACAGAGGAGCTTACACTCTAATGTCCCCTCCCCCTCAGTCACATCAATCTCTGTACAGAGGAGCTTACACTCTAATGTCCCCCACAGTCACATCAGTCTCTGTACAGAGGAGCTTACACTCTAATGTCCCCCAACAGTCACATTACCTGCTGGCCGCAGGGCTTCGTCACCCGCTGGATACTAGACATGTGCACCGGAAAAAAAAAAACGTTTAGTTTCATCTTGTTTTGATTCAGATTTTTTGTTTTTCGGGATTCGGACTAAATTTGTTAGCGGTATTCGGTACGAATGTTCATTTCCGTTTCTTGTTGGTATCGTTCATTTCATTGCAGCAAAGTGACATAAAAAAATGTAATTGTCACTTTGCTGCAATGAAAATTCATCCACAAACGAAAATGCGTACAGACTACCGCTAACGAATTTCGTCTGTCAAACTAATTTTTCCGAAACGAATCGCACATGTCTACTGGACGTAGGGCTTAGGGTTAGTTCACACCATAAGCAGTGCACTCTGGTCCGATTCTGGCCAGAATGCACTGCCCGCATTGCGGCCGGCTCACTTTTTGGCCAGGCTGGAGGGGGCACAGTGGGCCATTGAAGTAAATGGTGCTGTAGCCACGCCCTCCGGCTGCAATGCGATCGCCCGCATGGGATCGCAAAGCACATTGTGCCTGCAGTGTGTTCAAGTGCAGTGCGATCAAAATAGTGCTTGCAGCACCGCACCCAAACGCACTGCAGGCACAATGTGCCTTGCGATCCCGTGCGGGCGATCGCATTGCGGCCGGAGTGCGTGGCTACGGCGCCATTCACTTCAATGGCCCGCCAGGCCCCCTCCTGCCTGGCCAAAAAGTGAGTCGGCCGCAATCCGATGCAGTGCGTTCCGGCTGGAACGCACTGCAAGTGGTGTGCAGGAGCAGCCGTTTTCTTGGTATAACCACTTCCAGCGGAGGACTTACATTTATGTCAACCCGCAGGAAGTGGTTAAAAAACACACACACAGGTAATGAAACACACATATTACACACTCATTAAAAACACAGACACACACAGCTTCATTAATGGAAAAAAAAATCACACACACACATTAAAAAACACACAATAAAAACACACACACACACACACACAACTATTACACAATAACACAATTGTTAATTAAAGAATGTCCCCCTCTCCTGCTTACCTGTTTTGCAGGAAGGGGGGCTGCATTCCTGGAGTCCAGTGTGGCACTTGGATTATCCTAATGGTTGAGTGGAGGATCAGTGTTATCTGCATCTCCGGCTGATGCAGACCATACTAATTGATCCCTGCCAATCAGCGGCGGCACCACAAGGGATAGATCACTATGATCTGCATCAGCAAGAGATGCAGGTCATA